GAGCAGAGGAAGGTACCTGGCTCACCCATCCCTCTGAGTGTTTCTCACATCACAATAGACATATATATAGAGAGAGATATAAAAACAACATGATTGGCATTCTATTAATTAAGTCACAAAAAAGAAACAATTAAGCAAATTTCAGGAAAAACCTAAAAGGTAGAAGAGGACAGAATCAGATTAAGGTATAATTAAAAACACTTCAGACATTTCAGGACAGAGAAAACAGATTCATCAGAAGGCCAGGGTTGAGCCTTTTTTTTTTTTTTTTTTTTTTGAGAATCATCTAACTTTGATTACATGACCACTGCTTTGGGTTCAGAGAGAAAGACAAGGAGGGTTATGAGACTTTTAGTTGGAATCACCATGCTCAACAGTTGACAGCTTTGGAGACCATAGACACCTGCTCCAGGAAGTCAAGTTAGTATTCAGCAGACCCCAAGGCAGGGGTTTTTGGCTGCATAATGACAACATGTACACATGACATATCCAGGGCCATCTGCAGAGGCCAAGGGACTCCATCTACATATCTATGGGGACTTTGCCCCACTGAAACCCTGTTCAAGGGTTACTTATGAAGGTCCATGTGCTGGGTTTATTGGTGCAGGAGCTAATGGCTGGAACAGCTCACCTGGATGGATCTGCCACCTTGCTATTTAATCTAATCTAGATCTTTAGACTTGCAGCAACTCTCTTTCATCCACCTTCTCCTGAGGATTTCTCTAACAATGATGTCATCTTAAATTTAGGCCCAAATTTTATTTCACTGAACCAAGAAGGGATTCACAGACCACTATGGAGGAATAATGAGATGAAGGAGAGAGATTCAGAGGAGCTCTGTTGATAGTAGCAGCAAGAGAGACTAATGGGTAGGCAAATGAGCCATCAGAGGCAGCCTTGTCCGCATGGCCTCCTGCCCACATCCTTTTACTATTAGGAACTTTCAAATTGCCATACCATCCCTGTTGATGGCAGACATTTATTTTCACTGTCTTTGTTATTTGTTTGTTTTCTAAAAGACCTAAACTTTGGCTCTTGGGTGACTGTCGTGTGATAGGAAGCGTGTTGATCCCTCCCTGGGAAACACTTTTGACTCGCAGGAACTCTGTTTACTACAACCATTACCTTTTATTTATGTTTGTCAGTCGCTGGGCAGCTAACTAGACTGTGGCATATGGATCCCCAAAGGCAAAGGAGAGAGACTCCAAATGCTGGTTTGCTGCCTGAAAAGGAGTTCATATTTATGATTGCGCTTACCCCACATTGGGAGTTTAAGTGAGGCAGTTTTCAAGCTGGGAAAACAATTTCCATTAACAGATCCCGGAAATGCGCTCTTTAGTCTTTTAGATACCTTTATGGTCCAACTCCCTCCTCAGGCCCTCTCTTTCTCAAGAAAACAGACAAAAGAAAAGAAAAGAAGGCTCAGTACTACAGTAGACAGCCACTGTCTGGGTTTCCAGACCTTTCCTTCTCCTTTCTCCTGCATGTCTTTGTTTTGAAGGGAAAATAGGCAGAAAGTCTCAAAGTAGGAGAGTGAGTGCAGGGACACAGGGGAACTGGACATGGCAAGGGTAGTACAGGAAGTAATGGAAAAGGAATTAAGATTAGGGTTCCCAAATTATTCATTGTCATTTTTGCTGTGAACTATGACACCCTTTCTATCCTCAAAACTATAAGCTTTCCTGTTCTGCTCAGGCACAGAATCCAGTTTGGGGTGAAGAGTGTCTCAAGGCACTTACAGGAACCAAATGTCCTCATGGGAAGAGCACCACAATGGGCAGGATGGAGAAAATTGGTGTGCTATATCCATGCACTCATGACCTCACAACTGGGTCAAACAAGGGGCTGTCTAAGAATGTCCCCTGTGCTGGGAAATTCTCTGGACTTGACAACGATCCCTTTTGCTGTAACATTGCCCCAACTTGTTGCTCTCCTGGCCATGTTTCTTCAAATCATCGTTGGTTCTCAGGGAGAAGAAAAGATGCTTTTATTCATTTTAGACCCTCCTCACATTTAATACAGGACAGTGAGGGAGAAGAAGTACTGTTTTTTTTTTTCCCAAATGAATGAATGAACAAGCAAATGAACAAAATCTAAATGCACTGTCACCTATGTGTCCATAACTCAGCAGTTTGGCAAACTCACTATCTGTCATTTAACAGCAATGGACTAGAGAGTGAGTAAAGAAAATATGCAGGGTCCTTGGATGATCACTGGAGTCTTAGCATTTTACAGAGGGCTTACTGTGGGCCAGGCATTATGCTAAGCCCTTGATGTGCTTTATTTCATTTAATACTCATGTCCCTATACAGCTGTCCTCTTGTTGCCACCTGCCTTCTGCAGACAAGTACATAACTTGTGGAAGGTTCCGACTCAGCTCTGTTGACTAGAGGCCATGCCCAAGACCACTGTGCTATACAGCCTTCCAGAGTGGGGGTGCTGTCTGGCCCCCTCCAGTGCTCACTTAGCCCTCTTGCTCCTCAAACAGTCCTTGTAAAAGATTTTCCTTTGCACTTGATTGTAACACACCCATGTCTCTGGGACAGGAAAGCAAAGGCAGCACATAAGAAGAGCCTCGCTGTGGGCCATTTCCTTGCTTGATAGCAAGGAAGGGGCCAGAGCAGGTTCTGTCTTCTCTCTTCCTTCCTGAGGCAAAAATGACGGTAGCTTGGGTCTATTCAGGCTCTGGAAAAATACCCTATGTTATGTGCGTTCAGGAAAATTCTTTATATTACAACTTAATGGCATTGGTGATTAGTCATGATAGTTATCAAGAAAATGTTAGGTTCAACATATCCAAAGTAAAAGTTAAAGGTAAGAATTGAATTTAAAGTATTCCCTTTAAAAATATTACATTAAAAGAAAAAAAAAACTTAGAAGCTTTGGAAACTCCAGGGTTCTTGATAGCAGAAAAGGTCCTATACTTAAGCAGTGGTTTCCAGACACCTAGATTTTGTAAATGAGGAAAACAAGAAATTGTGGGTGAGAGAATGAATATAGGTGTGAGTTAAGGTTAATTTTGCTAAGTAAAAGTGTTTAAAGAGAACAGCTACCATCTACTGGCATCTACCTTTAACAAAATTAAGAACACTTGAAGAATCAAAGAAGTGGCCACATCTTGGGTTCAGCTTTGCATTTTCACCATCCCTACCCAGGAACAAGTCACCAAGAGCTCTTCCCCAAGGTTCAGGTGGAATTCACTAAGCATGAACGTATATGTGGGTCATTCACAGAGATGAGTCCCAGAAGTCTGACTTTAGTGCTACATGACTAGTGTCATTATTGTTTTTATTCATGAAGGATTTTGGGGGAAAATCTTTAAGCTTGGATTACAACTGGCTAGAAAAATAAGACTATCTTTTGCTTTAAAAAATTACCTGTTTCCCTGGTAAGGGGGGTGGTATGTTGTATAAGTACTTATAAAAGCTCAATCCTGCTGGATCAGAAAGTTATCATTTTCATAAAAGGGAAGTTATGAAAAATAAGAATTTTTAATGACTTACAAAGAATGCTTGAACAAGTAAATAAGGGAATGACCATTTTTTTAACTAAAAATTTATAGCAGAATTGGTTAAACCTCAAAGAGTAAAAAGACTTCAGTTAATATCTGGGTATTCCAGGCAAATGAACATTCCTATGAACTTCTCCTAGCTGTCCCAGCCTCCTACCTGCCTCCTGTGGGTTTGTATTCTCCACTTGCCTTTGGGGACCATCTCTGGGGGTAATTCTGCTGAATGCAAATCCTGGTACTGGGAGGTTCCCACTTTGACTAGCT